GAAGAGAGCTCTGAGGCACTTTACTTCAGCTTCCAACTGTACAGCTAAGGCCTTTGGATACACAGCATTGCGTCTTGGGTAGTTAGCTTTCAGCCTCTTCCTAGGTCTGGGGACATTGTAGAATGCATAAGTTCTGGCGACGACGGGTATTGGGTTTGACGCCTCAGGTGGGTCCAAATGCAAAAGCTGAGTGCTCGATGACAATAGTAGAATGAGCCCCGAAACAACTACAGGGGGAATGCTGTCTAGGACCAGCTGTCTACTAGGGCCAGGGACTCTCTTTAGAAGGCTTTTCTGAAGCCTAAACTAACACGCCCAAGCCTCGAAACCCCAAATGCCGACACGCAGAAGACTCGTTGTATTCAGCACTAGCTACCTGCGAAAACCTCGCACAGCTACACAGACTGAGGCCTGCATGTGAAAGTCACAAATGGATAGTTCTCTAAATTAAAGGAAACTACAGGTGGGGAATTCAGGGTATATAGAACTTCTATAAGGCTTCTAAAGGGTATATACACCTTCTATAAGGCTCCTATAACGGTAACTACCCACCTGAAAATGTCCTAGACTAAATCAGGCTCCACAAGATAGCACAGCACACCCTTATACCACGGACCCTCAACGGGACCCTGATTTAGAGAACTCCCCAAATGCCGGAGAGGGTCACTGAGTCACAGCACAGAAAGCGAAAACCGAAGATCGCTCCAAGCCCGAATCCCACCCGCGATCCTCAACTCCTGAACGAAGGAATCCTGAGCCTAAGCCCTGAATCCCTAAACCCTAAACCCCTAAACCCTAAACCCTTAACCCCAAACCCTAAACCCTAAACCCTAAACCCTAAACCCCTAAAAACCCTAAACCCTGGGCCAAGACGACAAAGCCCTCAAAGCCGCAACCGCGAGCAATCAACGCGGGGGGCATTAACAGCTAGACTAGAATTCCTTTGGAGGGTTCCTTTTTAAGGGGCATAGGGGCCTGAATACTTAGAATGGGGTTTGGGGCTCCTTAGTATAGCTATAGCTAAGGAGCTCTAAAAAAATAATCGGAAGTATGTCGGCTTCCATATTGTCAGCAGACCTTCTGAGTCGGTGTTGTAGATTATCGAACAGGGTTTAGGGTTTAGGGTTTAGGGTTACTTACAACCACACCAATCTCCAACTACTAAGTGCATGCACGTCCGGTTCAGAAAACATGGGATCTTCATCCAGAAGCCTTATATGGCGGGACCCCATTGTCGAAGGACCCCGCAAAGAGGGAGCGCCTAACTTTAGGGCTTAGGGGTTTAGGGCTTTAGGGTTTAGGGGTGTAGGGTTTAGGGGTTTAGGGAGCGACCCGCAAAGAGAGCGCCTAACTTTAAGAAGCCAGAGTGCCTCGTTACTCCACTGCTCGGAAGTCTTCGGAATGACCTGACATCAATCTCTTCAACAGGGCAGTTTAGGCTTTAGAGTCTTGGGTTCAGGGTTTAGGGTTTAGGGTTTAGGGTTTGGGGTTTAGGGTTTAGGGTAGTCACATAAGCTATACAGAAGGTACCTATACTTGTAACTACTTATAACCGTTATATTATAACCTTTGTGTAATGTACTTATAGCCCTACTTACTAGGTCCCCTGACCTTCTAAGTAGGGTTTAGGGCGCAAAACAACTGAACACCACCCGGACCACATCAGAACCTACAATTGTGCAGTCACGGCCTCTCTGTGTTTCTGAGCTACTTGCTAGAAGCAGTAAGGTTCGTAGTGTCAAGGAAGCTCTCTCTAGACTCTTAGCCTTAGGCCTCTCTGTGCCCCTAAATTTTAAACCCCTGAACCCTAAACCCCTAAACCCTAAACCCTAAAACCCTAAAACCCTAAACCCTAAAACCCTAAACTTTAAACCCTAAAATCCTAAACCCTAAACCCCCGAAACCCCTAAACCCTTAAACCCCTAAACCCTTAAACCCTAAATCCCGCACCTTGGGGTCAAACCGTCCGTCCGAAGACTCTACATCGGACTGCGGCCCTACCTTAACCCCCAAACAACCTACCCTTGTAAGGGCTTATATAAAGAATCGGTAGGGTCTTTAGGTCCAGGTAGACCCTAAACCATCACTTTTCCTGCAGCCGCGAAGTGCCGCAGTTTACGACTTTGGGGTGGGAGGTCTCGTAGGGGTTTAGGGGTTTAGGGGTTTGGGGGTTCAGGGGTTTAGGGGTTCAGGGGTTGAGGGTTCAGGCTGTTCAGGGCTTCCAGATTTGGGATTTAGAAATGAAACTAGATGAAACATAAATATATATATATATATGTATGGTCCAATACATAAACAACCTTTTGCAGCCTAGCCGACATGTAAAATGCTAGTTCGGGGGCCTTGGGGTGGAAGGTTTGGGATTCACGGTTGTCTTAATCTAAGTCCTGTAGGGCTTTACGGCTCAAGATTTGAGGGTTTAGGGAACCCTAAGCCCTAAACCGTTCAACTGGATGTGTAAAGTGTAAAGGCACTTCGCTGTGAACTTAACATGCTGGCTATATAGAGCTATTTCAAGACTTAGGGGCTGAGTACTCTAGCCCAAAAAAGGTTAACCTTTTGATTACAGTAGGATTATAAAAGCCAAAAAAGGTTAAAGGTTACCTGCTCAGCCTTTTAGAAGATATGCTGACAAACCCTTCCAGCCGTCGCCCTGAACCCCCCAAGCCAACCCTGTAAACCTAAGCCCTAAACCTTCGGCGCACACCGCCCCAAACCCCGCACGCCTAAACCCTAAACACTGGTTCCCTAAACCCTAAACCCTAAATCCCTAAACCCCTAAACCCTAAACCCCTAAACCCAAGCATGATGTCGGGTTTGGGCATCCATGCCTCCATGAAGCGCCACAACATTCCTCCCAGCCGCCTCCGATGGCTTAGGCCGCTTAGAGAAACGGGTTCAGGGTTTAGGGTGTAGGGTTTAGGTTTGAGGGTTTAGGGTTTAGGGTACTTGCAGGGCTTTAAGGAAGATGTTAAAGGAAACTACAGGTGGTGAGTTTAGGGTATATAGGGCTTCTATAAGGCTTCTATAAGGTATGTAGGCCTTCCAAAAGGCTCCTATAACGGTAACATCCCACCTGAAAATGTCCTAGGTTTAGAGTACTTGCAGAGCTTTAAGGAAACAAAAATGGCAGGCCGCAAGCCGTTAGTCTATGATCAAGACCCAATGCCCCGGCTTACATTTCGCTCCTGCTTTCTCTATGGGACCTGCAGTTGATGCACGAATGCCTGCATTATTCTCAATAAGGCATATATATATATGTAAACATACATACATACATACATACATACATACATACCTACGTACGTACGTACGTACATACATACATACATACATACATACATATATATATATATATCGATCGTAACTAGTTCTCATAGTTTAACGTGCTTAAAGTAATGTCTGCATCTGTCCATCAGCACTGTTACATCTCGGAGGAAAGAGCTGCCAGCTGTTGGCTTGATCGGCCGAAAATCGTGCTGCTCAAAAACAGTGTGCCGGCGCGGCACCTCCCTCCCTCTCTCTCTCTCTCTCTCTCTATCTCTCTCTCTCGCTCTCGCTCTCTCTCTCGCTCTCTCTCCCTCTCTCGCTCTATCTATCTATCTACCTATGTATCTAACTATCTACTCTCTATCTATCTATGTATCCATCTATCTATCTATCTATCGATCGCTCAATCTATCTATCTGTCGATCTATCTACCTATCTACCTGCGTATCTATCGATCTATCTACCTATCTATCCATCTATCTGTCTGTCTGTCTGTATATCTATCTATCTCTCTCTCTCTCTCTCTCTGTCGCTATCTATCTGTCTGTCCACCTATCTATCTCTCTATCTATCTGTCTGTCTTCCTGTCTGTCTGTCTGTCTGTCTGTCTGTCTGTCTGTCTATCTACACACATGCGCATACACCTACATATAAATGGACGCTTACATATACGACATATACGTATCGATGTACATATACATAAACATAAACATTTACATATGTATATACACACATACATACATACATCCACTACATACACACATGCACACATAAACAAAAGCCGCCCCTTCATGTGTGTATACATATATATATATACACACATACACACACACACGTGGTCTATGTTAACTTCTCATTTATACGAATGGCAAACGACAAATACAACATAGGAAACCCTTCATCTTCTTCTCAAGCCCTGGCCGTAAAACCCTGATTCCTACTACTTGGGCTCTTGGCAGAACTTCGGGTTGGCACTTCTGCTGGGTTTCAGCTTCTTCCGCCAATGTACATAAGAGGGCGAGTCCGGGCGCATCAGACAGGCTGCTTTAAAGGTTTAAGGCGTTTGGGGTTTAGGGACAAGGAGACAACACGAAGAAATGCAACCCCCGGGCATTTGCCTTCAAGAAGCTGCTGGGTCCCTCTGGCTAGAGTCTAGCACGACCGCACCGAAGCATAGAACTCCCACGACATGATGGGGGTTCAGGGTTTGGTCTTAAGGTTCTGCAGACTGAACCCCAGTCTTGTTCCCCAAGAGAAAACAATGTCATGCTGCCACGAGGTCTTTGCTGCCCTGCCCTTCGGGCGACAGCGTTCAACAGCGGCTACAAGACATTGCAAGTGGAAGCTTCGCTGAGGCCACCACAAGTCTGCATGATCAGTCTAGCGCTGATGTGATTGACACACGCCGTATTCCGCTATCTAGACCCTCCATCCACCCTCCACCCTACCTCAAACAACTACCCCAAGAGAGCATCCAGCCCCATGTACAGGGCATAGGGAGGGTCCTAGCACTTAAACACTTAAACAAAATGAAAAACTGAATGACGTTTTGTACAAGCGACAATGTATGGTCTCGACGAAGTGGCCATTGTGAGCAAGTTTCAGCGGACTTCCGCATGCCACTTCGCATCATGTGGCTGCCCACCACCCATCCACCCAGTTGATGAGACTTCTGAAGCCGCCGTGCTCAATTTGGATCAAGTTGAAGGCCATGTAGGCCACATTGAGGGTCAGGAACCAGAAAGCGAAATCCATCTTGAATGCTTCAGGATGCTCAAGCCAGCCCAAAACCTAGTGGCAATCTCCAACATCACCAGCACGGAAGCTTCAACTGCTATTGCCAAGAGGTTACCAATAGTCCCATTTCGGAAAGCAGCATCTTCGTCACCGGCAAAGAGGGCAAAGTATTGCGAGTTCTCTCCCAGCACACCGCTCGCGAGCATGAACGTCAAGCACAGGTAGATCAAGGGCACCATAACCTGGGTCCGTAGCAGGACGGAAACAGTCTTTATGCCTTTATGGATCCTTGAATCAAACTAACTCATAGGACACCCGACCTTTCCAGCATTCACCAAGTAGCTTCGCACAGCTCGACTACCGCCAAGCTTACAAAACTGATGCTGAACTGCGTATAGGCTGTCGCATCCTCAAGGAGGTGGAGATATTTCAGAGGACTCTTGCCGGCAGGGGCACTGGTGAAAGCAGCTTCTAAAAGGATGAATTTCCTAATTAGTCAATGGTGATGGTCACTTTCGGGACAGGTAGGTGTACCCGGTGTCTGTATTTAGAGTCTGCAGGGAAATTGACCCTGAACCCTGAACCCGAAACCATACAACCCGAAAATGCGACGGTGAACTTGGGAAGTAAACGGAGTCGTCTTAAATTTCACGTCGGGTCCTCCGAACTGACCAAAAGCTTTTCCAGCTTGTCCGATGACATCTCTCCCGCCTCCTGTGTTAAGCGACGCAGCTTCCTCAAGACCTGCCAGCAGAATCGTCATGGGTAAAGGTAAAACTTCTCTTGCCTTGAAAATTAGACAGGATACTGTAAGGACTTCCGGAAATGGCTGTAGAGAAGGAGTTGTTCAAGGTCTACCATAACCAAGAGGTGTCTCTGATGCTTGGAGCAAATGCCTGGTGCTTGGCAGTGAAATCGGAATGTATCCCTTCGATGGTCCCAAATTAGCCTCATACATCCCCTTACCGTCTTCCCTACAGTGCAGCCCTAAACCCTAAACCCTCAACCCTAAACCCTAAACCTTAAACCGTACCACAGTTCAGCCTACACCCCAAACCAAGACCTCAGACCTTCAATCCCAAATCCGACGTCCGACCTCCTGATATTCCTCGACGCGCTTTCCTGGGCATTGAAGCAGCAGAAAGCAAACAAAAATTGTATTTCATAGCAGTTCCTTTACGAACCAGATCCACGAAAAATGGCAAGATATGAAAATATAGGGGCCCAAATGATTAAGAATGCTTTGCTGGGGCTTCTTATCATATATAAATATAGATATAGATATAAACACACGCATAAATTCTCTAATTACTCAGGCACCTATACTAAACCCCTGTTTTTGAAAAAAACTCTTCAAGGAACCCTAGTCTAATTCTGAAGGTCCCAGGGCCCTAGATAACTGCAGAGCCCAGTGTCGGACTTCCCAGCTGCGTCGCAGTGAGTTCGGATCTCGCCGGGCGGCTGCGGTCTCCTTCAAGATAGGATTTACCGTTTTTTTTTGAAGTGCAATGAACCGGACTTTCGAACGATCCAGGATTTACCGTTTAGGATTTAGGCTTTAGTTAGGGTTCCGAAAGGTTTCGGCTTTAGGGTTCCGAAAGGCTTCGAGTTGAGGGTTCTTAGAGGCTTCGGGTTTAGCGCCCCTTTGGGTTTAGGGTTTAGGGTTTTTTTGGGTTTGGGGTTTAGGGTTTAGGGCTGTTTTGGGTTTAGGGTTTAGGGCTGTTTTGGGTTTATGGTTTAGGGTTTAGGGTTCTTTTGGGTTTTGGGTTTAGGGATCTTTTGGGGTTTGGTTTAGAGTTTAGGGCTGTTTTGGGTTTAGGGCTCTTTTGGGATCTCTTGGGTTTTGGGTTCAGAGTTTAGGGCTGTGTTGGTTTTAGGGTTCAGGGCTGTTTTGGGCTTCGGGTTTAGGGCTACCGGTCTCCTCCAAGGTCATCACCATGGCAACCACGGCCTTCGCGAGGTCCATGCCCAGAATCCTGGTTGCATGAAGTATATTTGGCGGGTCGGGGGACCTACTGTTGATGATATGAACCCTGCATTACCTTAAGAAACCTAAACTATGGAAATTCTGGCATATTTCTTATTATGGGTAATGCAGAGTTTATACAATCAACCGTAGTAAAGTATTTACTTCATAGAGTTACAAGTATCACAACCTTAATAAGGATCCCGTCTAGGGTACCTATACCTGTACGCATTACCTACTTTCTAAGTCCCCCGACCCTCCAAGATCGGGTTTGGGGTCAAATCGAAGCTCAGCTCCTACAGACCCAGAACCCTAAACCCCGAACCCCCCCAGAAAGCCCAATACCCCTTAATTAAAGAGTGAGTATACCTTAAAATCATAATATTAAACTCCTCTCTGTTTTTTAAGGCATATACCTTTAGCCCTAAACTGCCCTAAACCCTACACCCTAAACCCTAAACCCTAAAGCCCTAAACCCCAAACCCTATAACCCCTGAACCCTAAACCCTAAGCCCCTAAACCCTAAAGCCCTTGCAGACCCCAGTTTCGATCCGGAAGTTTCCGTTTGCCCCCCCCCCTTTCTTCCGGCCTTGGGGCCGTTTGGGAAGGGTTTAGGGTTCAGGGGTTATAGGGTTTGGGGTTTAGGGCTTTAGGGAAAGCGCGGTCGTCTTGCAGTCTATAGAACCATGGCTTTTGGTGTCTGTTATTGTAATGTAGTTCGACTGCAGAACCCTTGAGAAGAGATGTAGTAATAGGAGCTAGGATTAGGGTTTAGGGGTTTAGGGCTTCAGGGTTTCAGGGTTTAGGGCTTTAGGGTTTTAGGGTTTAGGGTTTAGGGTTGAGATAGGAGATAGGATTAGGGAGACCTCTTGGGGATATAGACCCTCTCAATAAGGTCCCTTTTAAGTGAGCCA